CGCTACCGATACTGTTAAGACCAGATCATTTCATTACAACATTGATAACTAACGATAACTAAAAGAAGTTTGGAGCCTTGGTCTGAAAGACCTGCATTCTAACGCCTACACCCTGCTACATAACAAGATTATATTTAGACTCAAACATTCAGATCCTATTTATAATGAAGCCTTGCTAGTGGCTCGGGGAAACCGAAACGAAGAAAATTGTTGGCTAACCAATGCTTAGTCAGTCTTGGGTCTCAGAACGGTGTTCTTTTGTTCCAAGTGTTCGCGGAAAGATGGTTCATCTAGTTCATGTTTTTTGCATTCTGTCATAGTTAACATTGGAGTTGCCGTTTAATCATGGAGCAGCATAATATGACACCGTAGATTAGAATATGTTCATGATGATTCAGTTGAAAGCTATGGCAGAGCATTCTTGTCTTACAAATGTATAACACACCTTCGACGGTGTTTTAAACAAATAAGCAGGTTTGTTAAACAACTGAAACTGAAAGTGGTAAGTCTAAGAGATTTTTTACAGTTTTAAACTCTATCTTCTTCTCTCCCTCAAGCTACCTCGTCGAAGAGTTGGAAAAAAAGAGGGGCGGGGGCAAAGAGTTGAAAAAAAGGGTGTGTTTGCGCGCGCGTATGCGTGTGTAAGGATCTTCCATGTGCTCTTTATGTAACTTTATCCTAATTTCTTTGATGCCGTCCTTCCATTTTTGCTTGGTCTTCCATTTTTGCTTGGTCTTCCATTTTTGCTTGGTCTTCCATTCTTGCTTGGTCTTCCATTCTTGTTCGTCATCTTACGGTGACCTGTGTTTATACTTTATTATATTTCTTTAGAGTGGGCCTTTATGACAGTTGGTAACAGGGCATTGTCGTCAGATCACCCAAACATCTACACTACTGTTATATTTAGCCACGTGTCATCAGTTATTATCACTATGTTGTCAGCAGCGCATCATATGTCTAGATACCTAGTACTGAAACCTGATCTGTTTGAAAAAAAAAAAACAAACCTAGGCAACATCATCCTCAAGTGCCTTGCCGACTGGCGTTGACAATCATGCCTCTACACAGTCTGCGATTTCTAGTTGCCTGTATCAATCAGCTCGTGTGTTGACACCCTACATGTCATGACAAAGCGCTGTCAAGAATTGTTTGGTGCTGTCTCCTTCTGTTTCTTTTTCCACTGATCTTTCCACTGGTTATTACAGATTCCAGTTTCCCTCTTCTCATTACATGACCAAAAAATGATGACTGTCTCTTTCCGATGTTTGTGATAAGTTGTCTTCGAGCTATATAGTGTATGTTTTGTTTTGTTTAAAAAAAAAAAAAAGATGCATACATGAATTTGATTACACTTTGGAATTAACACACTCATGGTTTATTCATTATGATTGTAATTCATTCCAGGAATCTTATACAATTTTCAGGTACTGAAAGAAGTAAGCAATAATTTTGCATGGGTAATGTTGTTCTATATTTCCCACCCATATTTCTCCATTGTGAAAACTTCAGGTGATGCACCTCTTCTGTCATAGAGTACCTTTCTTCCCTTCAGGTGATATAACGACTGTGTCAGTAGTTCCACACTGTGTGACGTGATGAAGCCCTTAAGTTGAAGTTTATTGATGTGTCACCTATCACGTGATATATCACCAATCATATGATGTTACTACTGATGCAATCACCACCATCACCACTACTACATGTGCCAGTCCTGACTATTAAAAGTAAATCATGGATAATCAGCAGATTAATTAGAGGTAATGCTGAAGCATTACAATGGACATCCCCTGACGGTGTTACCAAAAATCAGATAGATTACATTTTAATACAAAGAAGATGGAGATCGAGCATAACATCTGCAAAAACCCTGCGAAGTGCAGATTGCGATACAGATCATCAGTTACTAGAAGCAGATCTAAAATTAAAACTCAAAAAGCTTACCCGAGGACCAAGGCCATTTCGATTTGATCTCACAAAAATACCAGATGCATACAACGTAGAAGTGAAGAACCGTTTTGAGGTCTTGATGTCTGTACAAGAGGAAATGACACCTGATGAACTGGCGGTACAAGCTAGGGATATCTTGATAACAGCAGCTAAAGACTTAATACCCACCAGGACTAAGCAACATAAACCATGGATCACACCATACACGTTAGAACTAATAAAACAACGAAGAGAACTGAAAAAGAAAGGAGAAACCAATGATAGTAGGATGAAGTATAAATTTTTTTTACACGAGAAATAAGAAAGTACACAAGAAAGGATAAAAATCAGTATGTACAAGATTGCTGTATTAAAATAGAGCAGCATCACAAAAATGGAAGAGATTACGAAATGTTCAAGGAAATGAAGTTATTGACAAGAAATTTTCAACCTCAGTTAAATGTTATTTGTGACAGGTTGGGAAATACTTTAACAGAATCTAGACAAATTCTAGGAAGATGGCAGGAATACTGCAGCGGAATGTATGATATGAATGACAGTGAGGATATGAATGATATACATGAACCAGTAACAGTAGAGGCAGAACCTGAACCTTCATTAGATGAAATTTCATGGGCAATAAGGAGCCTGAAAAATGGTAAATCACCTGGATTGATGAGATACCAGCTGAATTGATTAAAGCGGGAGGAGAAGAAAGCATAAAAATCTATCATGCATTATGTGAAAAGATATGGAAATATGGTATTTGGCCAAAAGACTGGAAGAGAACTATCTTCATTCCAATACCAAAAAAGGGTGACCTGAAATTATGTACAAACTATCGAACCTATTGCCCTGATCAGTCATGCAAGTAAAATTCTACTAAAAATTATAATGAGAAGACTGCAAAAGAAAATGGAAGAAGAGATTAATGTAGCTCAGGCTGGATGTTAGACAGGGAAGAGGAACAAGAGATCATATATTCAACATGCGTTTAATAATAGAGAAGTGTAGAGAATTTAATGTAAATCTGTTCTTATGTTTTGTGGATTATTCAAAAGCATTTGACTGTGTACAACATCAGAAGCTTTGGGAAATCATGAGGAATATGGGCTTTCCATCACATATAGTGCAGTCATTAAAATGCTCTATCAAGACCAACAAGCAGCAGTCAGAATAGATGGAGAGACATCAGACTGGTTTGGCATCAAGCAAGGAGTCCGTCAGGGATGTGTGCTGTCACCGTATTTGTTCAACTGTACGCCGAAAATATAATGAGAAATGTAAGAGATGATATAAACAAGGAAAAATATGATGCCCCTAAACATCGGTGGTCATGAAATACCAGAAATTCGTTATGCTGATGATACAGTATTACTATCAACATCACAAAATGGTTTAGAAAACTTATTAACCTCACTCCAAAGAAATAGTGAAAATCATAACTTATTTCTTAACACAGCAAAAACAAAGATAATGCATACAAACAAAACTGCCATGGAGAAGGAATATGATGTTAATGAGGAAAGATTGGAAGTGGTGGAAAATTTCGAATATCTTGGGTCACTGTTTACCAACAATGGTGACACAATGAAAGAAATTAACGGCGACTATCAATTGCTCTTCAAAGACTAAAAACAACTGAATAAATTATGGAATTGTACAGATAGAATTACAAAGGTCAGATTTTTAATAGCATGCATCTTTCCCATTGCAACATACGCCTGTGAGACCTGGACACTTACTAAACAAGCGGAACAGCGCATAAATGCATTTGAATATAAATGTTACAGACAGGTTCTAAGAATATCTTGGTAAAGAAAAGAACAAATGCATCCATACTTCAAGAGCTGAATATTGAAGAGGGTTGGCTAGTAAAGACAATAAAACAAAGAAAATTGAAATATTTTGGTCACTTGAAACGTCATGGAGGTCTAGAGAGAACAATAATGGAGGGGTATATTGGGAAGAGAGGAAGAGGAAGGCCAAGGAGAAGATGGGTGCAGATGTGGCAGATGATCTCCAGATGGGTGTATCAGACGCAGGACCATCTTGCTCATGATAGGAAGGTTTTCCGGAGGGTTGTTTATGGCAGCGAGGTTCCAGACATCTACTGAATGAATGTTGTAAGATATGCTTTTTTTTGTAGAATAACAACATCACCATGGATTGATAAATAGAGCAACAGAGATGTCTTGGGAAAAAATTAATTCACACAGAAGACTGGTTACTCCAGTAACAAACTGACAACCTAAATTCTTTAGGCACATCATGAAAAGAAAACTGAAGTAGATAGTTACAGATGAGAAGTCATAGGGGAAGAGAGAAAGGAAAGACCAATAGATAAAATGTGTATATAAGAAATTGCGTAAACATCCGTTTACTTCTTCTTCTTCACATTCACTGGCTGTAATTCCAGCCGAAAGTTCTGGTTATTAATCCACTTCCAGACTTTGAGTCTTATTCCAGAGCCTGAGTTTTGCATGCACATCCATTTTACAGATCTGTCTAATTTGTATGCAGACTGCTGGTTCATTGCTGCTCAGGCAGATGTACTCCTGCTTTGGAAAACAAATCCATAAATAGTTACTTTTTACGATTTTTTTTGTTAGGGCAGCAGTGGGTCTGCCCCCCCCCACCCCTCCTCCTCCCAACCACCCAAATGGGGCTCTGGAACCAACACAAGGAAGTTGCCTTGTACAACATGGCTGTTATGAATGAGTTTATAAATGTGTAAACAAAGTTTTTTTTTAAATGATGTAATCGCCTCCATGCTCTGGCCTTGAGGTGTGTTGGTGCTAGTCTATATTAAAATAGACCATTGAGCATTCGATGTGTAATATAGTCAGCATTGTGCTGTCTGCTTGACTTCCAGTAATGTTACCTAGTATCCATTTTAGGGAATGTTGACATGGGATCCAAAGTATTTGAACATATAACCACCCGGCCGACAGCGAGTCAGTCACTGCATGGCTGCAACTCTCTTTTTGTTCGTCACTGGTTTATTGATGTGTTTGTTTGTTTACAGCTGATGACTCTTTTCTGGGTGACATACTCACAACTCAGCAAGCACCATGAATGCACAAGAGTGGAACAAGCTGAGGAAAAATTGGGACAGCCTGATGGATCTGATCCCAGATGATATCATAGTTCAACTTTTCACGGTGAATGTCTGAGTGTACCACTATAGTTTTTATATGTGCCTATAAGAAAAAGTGTTTTAATGGTAACTGGAAAGTTTGGCGGTAGAAGAGGCAGGGGCAGACAGAAAGTAAATTTGTTGGACAGATGGTGGGCATGAAAGGATGTTATTCAAAGAGCTGATCCATTGAATGTCCATTGTTCTGGTTTAAGCTTTTCACACAGTGCAACATCTCTTTCCAGCACATCTTGCTGATGTCTATCAAATTGTCCAGCAAGGTGGCTGGGAAGCTTAAGTCTGCTTTTTTGTTCTCTCTTGAAATGCAGGCAGTTCCATATGATACTAGTTTTTTTGTTTCCCACCAAAAGTGTTTTGAATGCTTTTCCCTGTATGGTTTCAACATGTGACTTCAGTGTTCATCTTGAGCTGACAGTTGTAACAACGAGAAAGATTTTTATTACACGAGAACAGTTAGAATGTCTTACTGTGGAATGATCTCACAGATCATAGACAAAGTTTCTGTTAGCAAGCAACACAGCTTTTTAAATGTTTTAGTGCTATGTGATTGACAGGTCTATTTGGTGTCATGGCTTCCTGAGATTGTAATCTGTGGTCCAAGACTGTGTTCATCTCAGTATCTACCATTTTGCAGTATTTCGTGTTGTTGCCAGAAACCATCTTCCCATAGTTCAACCCTTGTGGTGTTGGTTTTACTGTTTGTCCACAGCCTTTCTGACTTATGTGCTGCAAATCATTTCTGGTAAATACAGCCTTCTGTTTCATGATGCCAAACTGTCCAACATACTCTCTTGGTCTCTCCCACCTCTTTTGCCCTCTGACTTTTCTATTTGCATATGTGTTCCAGTTCTACCGTTCTAATGATGTGCCCTAAGAATGTAAATTTTCTCCTTCTTGTATGGATAACCCATTTTCTTTGTTTCATAATATTCATCATAGTTGTCATTAAATCTCTGCAGTGATGGTTAGCTTCATTGAGCTCATCAGCATCTATTGCTTAGATGTTGCACTTTGTAAATCCAAGATGCCGGGTTTAATCTCTGCAATAGACTATTTGGCAGCAGACCGCCTAGTGTTGTTTTTGACTGTTATCAAGAGGGGGCAACGGTTAACTTCTTTTTTTTTCTTCTCCTAAAGTCCATGCCCTGTGGCACTGGTAGTCATGTCTATCCACAACCTTCTGTCTTGTGTACCTTTAGTAAACTCTTACACAGATGATACTCCATGCCATGATGTCAAACTGCCTGGCATATCTTCTCTCTGTCTCCCTCTGCCCCTCTTTCTCTCCAACTTTCCCACTGTTATGGTGTACTCCAGTTTTTTCCCTCTCATGACTGTAGCAAAGAATGTAGATTGTCTCTTTTTGATGTAGTCAGTCAGTTCTCTTCCTGAGTCAGTTTCTTTCGAGACATCTTCATTACTCTTTTTATCTGTCCAGGGTATTTTCATTATTCGTCTATAATACCACATCTCCGCAGCTTCCAGATACTTATTCAGTAATTTACCAACTGTCCATGATTCACTTCCATATATCAAAATTATATTTCTTGTCTAAATTGACAAAGAAAGATTGCATTAAATATTCTTTCTTTATTTTGTAAAATGTTGCCTTTGCTTGAGCTATTCTACATTTAACTTCTTTAATACATCTTCCATCTGATATTATCAGATCTTTATTACTTAAACATATCAACTTGCTTGAGGTAAACTACTAAACATAAAATGAATCCTATGAACAATGACTGAAAAGCTTAACAAAATTGGGAAGCAGAATAACGTTTACAAAACACAGAAAGAACAGAATTATGTGCACAAAACAACACAACAGGAGCAGAATCACATGCACAAAACAAGACAATTTGAACATGTTTTGAACATAAAAATGCCTAGTGAAATCATAAACACCCCCCCCCCCCCCACAAAAAAAATATGCTGGAGTTGGTTCTGCAAAATTCTTTAAGGGATACACAACTAACTTTATGGAAAAAAAGGGGGGGAGTGGGGGGTTGAGCTTCAGACCCTCTGTCCTATGCTTTCATGGTGCACTTTTATAGATATTCTCCAGTCCTTTTCATGTTGTCCACCCACATGTAACATTGTCTTTCCCTTGAAATCTTACTTATAAACCTGAGCATGAAACACAGGTTTGAAAAAAAAAATACATATAGCTTCTGCTTCAACAATGGGATATAAAGTCAATAAAATCAATTAAAAAAAAAAATTTGAATAACTACTGGAGATGTCACAGTAAGTATGTTTTCTAACCTTCAATTTTAAATCTTGTTTTTGCAGAAAGACGTCATTAACTTCAAGGATAAAGAGGAACTGAAAACAGAGAAAACTAATTCTAGAAAAATGGATAAACTGCTGACTATCCTTAGTTCAAAGCCTCCAGAAAAAAAAGCTTACAAGTTAGTCATTTATTCGCAAACATTTCATAGTTTCCATTGCACATCATGATTTTAAAGAATTGAAGTTGGTTTTTACAAATTAAAATTTACATTTTATGCCTGTTTATGAATAATAATATCTGAAACACACATACATGCACTCGCACTTGCACATGCACACACACACATACACTCGCACACATGCATGCACATGCACATGCAGGCATGCCTCCATTTATATATATGCACACACATAGACTAAAAAACATACACAGACACAACACATTCCAAAACATATAAGAAAAATTTTAATAAATCTGTGCAGTTTAAATATGCTGTCAATACATAACAGCTTGGCCGGTATTGATTTTATTTGTGTTCATATATATGTCTCTGTTGTATTATTATAGGGTTAACAGAGAGAAATCCTAATTTTGCAACAGATGTTTGAGCTGCAGAAGTTATTAAAGATTGTAAATGTAACTGTTCACATTAGTTTCACATGAAACTTTTGGCAAACTAATATGAAGAATCCAGTCTGACCATACATTTCTGATCTCAGTGTAATCTTCAGAGTATGGTCTTCTAAACTAATTACTGCTGACTTTCTGTCCAAAATAACAAACAAAATGTGACCACACTTCTGATATTTAGTGGGAATATACAAATAAAACGATCTCAGCTGCGGGCCATGCGCCTTGCGTTGGTTTCGACAGTGGTATTAAGAAAGCCTACTGTCCAGAAAGCAATGGCAAACTACTGGACGTAAATTTGCCTAGAAAAACCACACAACAGCCAGAGGTTGTTAAGGGTGGTTCTGCAACGTCCTGTAAAGGATGCGCAACTAACCTTGATACAAATAAAAACATACAAGCTGTTGGATGCGTATTCTCCCCGTGTAGATTCTGGGGCCGTATTGTGGAGAAAATAAGAATAGACTCACTGCCTCCCCAACAAGCAGGTCGTAGGAGTCGACTAATTTTGGGCATCCTTAGAGATCAGAGTGCATCAGCCCGGGCGACAAGGAACAACCAACTGCACTCAAATAAACCAGTAAAACAAATATGCATGCAAAACAAGCCTTGGCACAAAGCCAAAGTCCAAATGGACAAACAACCAGGACTTACTGCAGGAGCTTACAGCCAGTGAACAAAGAAGAAGAAGAAGAGGAAGAAATGTATTTGGAGCTTGTAAACATGATGCACTTGTGGTTTGCATCTAGAATCTGGCTTGTTGATTCCTCACAAATCAGGCAGATGCGCTAAAACTTTGGAAGAAAAATCCCTAATTATGCAGTTGGACCTTTGGACCCTTCTAGGACTTAAAGAGTTAATTAGAGATTTTAACACTGAGGTCTGAGTGATAACTAGGAAAAAATCTTTCCCTGTAAAAAGACATTCTTGGTACTGTTGTACTAAAATTTTTCTTTTACTTCTTCACGTTCACCGCCTGTAAACTCCAACAGAAAGTTCTGGGTGTTTCTCAACCTCTGATCATTCACAGAAGATCAGCCAGAATTAGCCATACATATTAACAGAAGATCAGCCAGAATTAGCCATACATATTAACAGAAGATCAGCCAGAATTAGCCATACATATTAACAGAAGATCAGCCAGAATTAGCCATACATATTAACAGAAGATCAGCCAGAATTAGCCATACATATTAACAGAAGATAAGCCAAAAATAGCCGTACACATTAAAAGAAGAGAAGCCAGAAATTGGCAGCACACATTAGCAGAAGAGAAGCCAGAATTTGCTGTACACAATACCAGAAGATAAACCAGAATTTGCTGTACCATTAACAGGAAAAAAACAAACAGACTAATTCCTTGCTATGATGTACATCAGAACTATTTAACAGGTGGCCCATAGGCCAAATCTGGCCCACTGGGACTTGACAAGTGGCTCATGTATCATTGCCAGCTGTATTGTATTATTATTCTTCTTCTTCATCTTTGTTCACAGGCTATAAGCTATGTTGGAAAGTCCTGGTTCCTGGACTTTGGCTTTGCATCGGTGACTTTTTACAGTAGAACATCTGGGAGGAAGGCAAGAGGAAGACCAAGAAATAGATGGATACATGGTGTAGCTGAAACCTGGAAAAATATGAACAAATCCATAACAAGCCACCCGAAAAGTGCAAGACAAATACAGAAAACCAAGAAATGGTTACAACTGGCATCAGTGAGATGACAAAAGAAGAAAAAGAAGAAGTCCTTTCTATACTGGGGGCTTGGGTGATTCAAATTCATGAGTAAATTTAGTTGAATAACCCTGACATATATCAACACAACACCTCCACTTATTGTTGAGTACCATCTTCTTATTTCAGTGCTTTACTAGAAGCTCTGGACAAGGACCATATTACAGCAGAGTTGGCACAAGTTATAAGAGAAACTGAAACAACATCTGATCCATCTTTAAAGTCTGCAGGTGTGTATTTAATCTGCAGGTTTATTTTTAAGGTGTGGAGAGAATGGTGCAGCGGATCATATGATACAAACACATCCCATCTTCTCAGTGGACTGCAGGTTACTTGGTAAACATAAACATGTCATATTATAACTATTATGAGGTTGAATCAGGTTTCTGGGATGCCCACCTGTCTGATTGTCATCCTTGAGTTGAATCCTACAGACAGCAATCCTGGATGTGGACACTGACCACCGTTGGTGCAGCAGGGAGTGACCAGGACACTGACCACCATTGGTGTAGCAGGGAGTGACCAGGACACTGACCACCATTGGTGTAGCAGGGAGTGACCAGGACACTGACCACCATTGGTGCAACAGGGAGTGACCAGGACACTGACCACCATTGGTGCAGCAGGGAATGACCAGGACAGTGACCACCATTGGTGTAGCAGGGAGTGACCAGGACACTGACCACCATTGGTGCAACAGGGAGTGACCAGGACACTGACCACCATTGGTGTAGCAGGGAGTGACCAGGACACTGACCACCATTGGTGTAGCAGGGAGTGACCAGGACAGTGACCACCATTGGTGTAGCAGGGAGTGACCAGGACACTGACCACTGTTGGTGCATGACCAGGACACTGACCACCATTGGTGCAGCAGGGAGTGACCAGGACACTGACCACCATTGGTGTAGCAGGGAATGACCAGGACACTGACCACCATTGGTGTAGCAGGGAGTGACCAGGACACTGACCACCATTGGTGCAGCAGGGAGTGACCAGGACACAGACCACCATTGGTGCAGCAGGGAGTGACCATGGGATCTGGATGACCCTCAAGACTAAGTGGAAAGGAACAGTTGAGTTGATGAGTTGAGTTGATGAGTTGAGTTGATGAGTTGAGTTGATGATGACTTGAGTTAGTTCAAGAATCAACATCTCAGCACTCAGAGCATTCCCATAAGCATTCTGTCCCCATCTTCAGCAGCCAGTGCAAAGTTCCAACACCAAAGGCGGAGTGGAAAGGCAGACTGGACATATGATCAAACTGCAGCTGGCACCACTGGTATTGGAACTCTGCACTGGCTGCTGAAGGTGAGGACAAAGAGCTTATGGAATGTCCTGAATGTTATCAGTTCTTAACTCATTTGAATACATTAACTTGGTGAACTCAGTTAAGATAATACCAACTGAGCTGACTAATCTTTTACAAATAAATGTTAAAAATATTACTTTTGTATTATCATTTGACCATAAAATTATGAATAATGAATTTTCAGTGGACCCACACCTGCTAGATGGTGCAGTGAGAACAGTTCTTCACGAATACCTGGTCAACAAAACTGGTGCTTCTACATCTCTGCCAAAAATTAGAGAAATTCTTCAGAAGTGTCAAATCTTCCATGGCAAAAATGAATGGGACAATAAGACTCTTTCTGATTTTGTGTGCAAGGAATTTGTTAGTGTGGAGATTCAACATGTGAGGAAGCGAAATGCAAAGAATTCAAAGAAAGAGACGTATCCTTTGGTTTGAAAAAAAAAAATTTGACGTTAAGATTATCCTTGTAACAAGTTACTTCTACACTGAAAATATAACAGTATAACAGAATTTAAAAAAAATTATAATAGAAATGTCCAAAGTGTTGTCAATAACATGCGAAGAATATTTAAAGATAAACAGCATTTTAAGAACGATAATTGCCAAATATTATGTTTACTCATCCGTACTGTATGCCAGTTTGGAAAGTGAACCAGCTAAAATATAACCCAGGACCTGGAAATGTGGGCATGCAGAAGAATGGGTCGTAGTTCATGGAAACAAAAATGGTTAAATGCAGAGGTTCTGGAGAGGTTAGAAATGACAACTATCCTTAATTGCCTCTCATGACTTGTATGGTGGATCAAGGGTTGTTATAGTCTCTGGCTTTTTTTTTTACAAGCTTCGGTAAAACATGGGTGCTGTCTCTCACAGTGAAGTTGTAGTTTTGGACTGCAATGGGGAAAGGACACCGCCAAAAAATACATTTTTGAATAAGTTAACACTGTGGGAAGGGATCCCGTGTCTCGTGTACTTTTAGTCAGTTCTGATACGGATGATCTTCTGTGCTATGATGCTTAAAACAGCATCTTCTTGAACTTCTTCTTCCCCTCCAACTTTTCCGCTATCACAATGTAATTCAGTTTTCTTCTTCTCGTGACATGACCACAGAATGTAGATTGCCTCCTTCTAATCTGGGTAATCAGTTCTCTTCGTGAGTTAGTTTCTTTCAGGACATCTCTGTTACTCTTTTTATCTGGCAAGGGTGCTCACATGATTCATCTTTAAAACATATCCGCTGATTCCACATAATTTTTTTTTTTTCAACTGTCTATGATTCACTTCCTTATCTCAGGCTAGTATTTATATATCTGTCAACAGTTCTCTTTCTCACCTTATGTCCTATAACGCTGTTAATTCAGCTTCTTCTCATCCACACATAAGTCTTATTTACTGGTTACTGTTTTAAGAATCAACATCATAGCACTCCGGGCATACTCATAGGTGTTCCGTCTCCCACAGCAAATGTTTTACGATGTGGATACTAACTGTTCCCATAGCACACTGATGTTGATGAATTTTTTCCCCTCTTATACGTCCCTCCTTTCCTGATCCACATGTACGTCCTTGTTCACACATTCTTATGTATGTTATTTCAACTAACTTCATGTCTTCTATCAACATTTGTTTATAAATGGTCTTCAGAATGATCCTTTGTTTAGTATCCGCTCTTTCATTTCCTCACACTCCTGTATATCCCGGACAGTATATCCGCATGAGTCCATGTAATGTTGATGAGTTAATGCTTGGTAGCACAGTTTCTCAGAGCTGCAGTGATTGCCTCTACCTCCATCCTCATGCTTGAAGTTTTAGATAAAAAAGCACCACTACTAGGATTTTTACTCCTATTACTCCTATGCAAGAAAAGATCTCATATGAAAGCAAGAGGCGGCCCTAGTTGAAGATGGATTGATAACATTAAAGAGCTTCTAAATGGACATGCAATGACAATAGTCATTGCTGCCCATCAAGCAATGGGGATCGCACATAGTTCCTCCCCCAACACTTAATGGCAGAAGTGAAAATACGTGGGAATTGATGATGGTGATGACTCCTGTTTTAAAATCACTATTGTTATTACTATTTTACTCCTTAATTTATTTTATTCATTCCACCCCTTTCCTCTGTCTATATTTTTATTTTATTTATGTGGCACCCACCCTGTGAGGTGACTGGAAGCTAGGATAACCTGCCTATTGTTGTGGTTTATGTTGAGGAAGGCTCCGTCTGAAATATCTTTTGTTTTGTATGTGTACATTGTTCCCCTCCCCCTTTTGTAATTTTTCTTAGTCACAGTTCATGGATTAATTTCTTTAACCTATATGAAGTCAGTTTAAAAACCTGGCTATTGTAGACCCTACAAAAACTAAGCCTACCCCACCTGAAGAAAATGCAGTAAATTTATCCTCAGGCAACAGTGAGCAACAAGATAAGGGTGAGTGTTTTGGACTACATTTATATTTTTAATTCATAACATCTAAATATTGTACCAGAAGAGCTAACAAGCAATTTGGCTTGGTTACTTGGTCAAGTTGGACAATTAATATATTTAGAGTACCCTGCCCTTAGTTACATAATTTTTAGCACACTTAGTACTAACATATTTTGAGCAAGAGAGAGAGAGAGAGAGAGAGAGAGAGAGAGAGAGAGAGAGAGAGAGAGAGAGAGAGAGAGAGTGTGAGTGAGACAATGAAATGTATAGAAACATATCTTCTTCATCTTCTTAGCGTTCACTGTCTGTTAACTCTGGTGGAAAATCCTGGTTGTTCTTCCATTCTTGAATTTTGATCTTGATCAAAAACTTGAGATCTGCATGCTCCCCGTGTGGGTTCCAAGGCCCCACTGTGGGAGAAAACTAGAATAGACCCACTGCCTGCCCAGAATCATGTTGTAAGACTAATTAGGAGTGCCTTTAAAAGTCTGACAGGCAAGGAACCAATAATCTGCATGCAGATGAGTCAGTCCTGTGGAACAGATGTGCACGCAACACTCAGTTTCTGGAACAGGACTGAAGTCCAGAAGTGGAGGAACAACCAGAACTTTCTGCCGGAATTTACTGCCAGTGAATGCGAAGAAGAAGAAGATTTGCATGCACATCTGTTTTACAAATCTGGTTTATTTGTATGCAGATTATTGGTTCAATGAGTCTCAGAAAATGCACTCTAACTTTGAAAAAAAAACCTAAATTAATTGCATCCTAAAACATGTTTGTTGGCAGGGGGGGGGGGGGGGGGGGGACGGGCTGTTTAGGGGGAGGGGCAAGGGGGGGGAGAGTGGGTCTATTTTTTGGGGTGCTCTCTTAAGTAGTACCTTGGAACCCGTATGGGGATATAGAAAAATTGGATTGACTGGTTGTAGTAGACTGAGTCTCTTGTGGCTGTGGCACTGGTATTCAGCAAGTCTAAACCTAAAAGAAGTTACATCTGTCAGTGGGACTAGTGCAGAGACTCATCTCCTAACCCACATTACTTAGTTACGTCCCTTTTAGGACGTAATTTTTTGTTTTTTGAAGCCCCACTCTGGCTTTTGCCAGGGGCCGCAATATAGGCAGGCCATAAAAATGGCCAAATGTCTGAACGCGGTTTCTGGGACCTCTCCACGGCGATCCTCATCCATATGGTGGCACGTTGTGTCATCGGGTGTTTATCGCTTGTGTGATGTCCTAGTGGGGTAGAAAGTCACTCACTCACTCCCAACCCAGTCATATGGGGGAGATAATCCATACATCCTTTTTAGGATGAAATTTGTTGTTTTTTGAAGCCCCACCCTGGCTTTATAAGCAGGCCATAAATATGGCCAATTGTCTGAACGGGGTTTCTGGGACCTCTCCACAGTGATCCTCATCCACACGGTGGCACCTTGTGTCATCGGGTGTTTATCGCTTGTGTGATCTCCTAGTGGGGTAGAAAGTCAGTCAGTCCAACCCAGTATCAGAGTTGTAGCCCCCCACCCCCTTTCTCCAGATCTTCCATCTCCCTTTTCCAAACCAGCTGAGTGTTCAGGAGCCATCATAGAAGTTCATATCTGCAGAGAGGAAGCAATATTAGGGATGTAATCAGATCATAATTCAGAACACCTGGCGGGTGGTTGCAGAGCAGGGTTCTCATGTGGAAGGCCTAGATTTGATTCTCAAAAAGGGACGGAAAATTAAATCCTAACCTGCACAGGGTTTGTGGCGACTACACTAGCCGTTGGTCCTTAAATCTTCAGGCTCATGATCTTCCTGTCCAACACCACCCTAAAATTGGTGAATGCAGGCATTAAAGACTCTTTGTTTTTTCTTTTAGACAATGACTAGCTGGTATTAGGCCTCGGATGGTCTTGTTTCCTCCATTAGTTTTTTTGTAGTATGAGGTTGAATGCCAGGGACTGGAATTACTAAAACACAGCAGTACACGAAGAAGAACTGTCACTGAATCTGTGTGATGTTCAAAGAAAATCATGCATATATACACAGAGAAAAAAAAAAAGGGGGGGGGGGGGGGGGAGGGTTATTCTTTGTTCTCCAAAGTGGAGCCCCAGAACCCACCAAGGAGTCCTTCAGTGATCACAAGTTTTCCTACGTACAAAAATATATGTTTTAAGTATACTTTTCCATATAAGTAATTTTAACAATGATGTCATGTTCAACCCATCTGGGTTATAATTGGAATATATATTTTTCTCCATTTTGGTATCAGATATTTATGCTTGTCAATTATTTTGGTTATTTTATATTGCATAGAGTATACATTAATTGTAATACATAGTTATATTGCATTGAGTATACATTAGTTGTAATACATAGTTATATTGCATTGAGTATACATTAGTTGTAATACATAGTTATATTCATTCATACTTTTTAAAATTTTTATGATAATCATAATGTGTAATCTGTATTTGGCAATATGTAAAGTTATCTATGATAACATCATTCTATTTAAGATATATTTAGAACAGATAGATTTGAAATAACATTGGGTGCACTACAAGGATGTCCTTTGTCAACTTTAAAACTTTTCCTGGCAATAGACTCAATTACGACGGCAGTAACAGCTACTCCCAAGAATAGAATTTAGTGAGACCCCAACAAAACAGCTTGGTGACCTGGACTTTGCTGATGATATTTCTCTTCTGTCCCTCTCATGGAATCAGATGCAAGAAAATTAACCATACATAATGTGAGATCACAATAATTAAGTTTCAAAATCCGTAAGGGAAAGACAAAGAATAATGAGAATAAACCAGGGAAGCACTAATCTAATTTCTCTTAATGATATCCCACTGCTAGATCTGGTATACACCTAATTGGGCTCTAATGCAGATAAAGATGTAAGAACTGATAAAGATATTAAAATATCTAATATATTAAAAAATATGCTCCACTGAGGGATAAAGGCAGAAAAAGATGAAGAAGAAAAAAAAAGATGTATTGGCACCTCATATGCAAACCTTTATTCTTTCAGATGCAGTCAAAGTGCAAGACATGAATCCTGAACAATTGAAAGAATACCTTCAACAAAAAATGGAAGTGTTACATTTGCCTACAGGTGACCTGGAGGTCCTTGTCAGGGAGAATGTTACAGGCTCTACATTTTTGACCATGACAGAAACTGATTTTAAGGACCTTATTCCAACAGCTACATGGGGGGTCAGGCGTTTCTTGTTTTTGCAGATTTCTGAAAACAAGTTTCCAGAACAGAGCCCATCATATCCTGACCACCTGCGGAAATTTGATACCGAAGTCAAGCACACGGATAAATATATCAAAGGCCACTGTGTTGATGCCTGCATAAATGTGCGAGGAAAGACAACAGATCCAGTGAGAAATTTTCATATAATTGATCAAGATGAACAGGACCCCATAGATTTTATTACATCTGAAGTGATTCCTTTTGTGTCTGCATGTCTCAATGACAGACGTAATGGGACAGTCTTCTTTGGGATTAGCCCTTCTGGCAATGATCATCACAAGTATGGGCAGATAGTTGGTGTGAATATTTCCAAAGAGGAGTTACAGAAAGAATTAAATCGCAGCTTGAAGAAATGCTTCTCCAAATCTCAGTGGAATGTAATTTCAAATGCAGTCAGAGATGCTAAGTTTGTCCCTGTGGTTTCAGATTGTAGCAAGGATCCAGATCTCAAATTGTGGATTGTTGAAATTGATGTTGTTCCTTCAAGCAGCCTTATGAAAGATGATACTATCAGAACAAAGCTTAAACATCTACCTGTCCTTTCAAGGAAACCGAAATCTAAAGGAATTGGAGTATTTAGGTTCTCAGTTGATGGTGTTCCAGAAATAATATCATCAGATGACATGTATGAATATGAAAGGGACCAGGAACGAATAATAAAAAAAAGGCAAGAGGAAGAAGCGGCACAAAAACAACATGTAACGCCTCTAAACTTGAGGACAAGATTGCTGAATCTGCTTACTGGGGGAACAGAACTGATGCAAGATACGATTTATCCATTTATCTTTGCAAGTTCCATTGACTCCCACATGGATGAGGAATATCTTTCCAGAAACATGACATTTATAAAACAGTTGAACCCTGAAGTCGTGTATGACTTTGATTCAAGTGGATCGACTAACGGCTTGTACAAGAATTTAGATTCTGTCCAAGAAGAAGTGATGAGGGTACTCACCACTGATAATTTTGATAAGGTTCAGCACAGTAAAGAGCAGTATAAAACTTTTACTGAAAGCCTTGCAGCAGAAAACCGAACATCTTGGATTTTCTGTAATGGGTATGATGTTATGAATTTAGATTCATTGAAACCAACAGAATGGAACAGAAAGAGAAGAAGTGCCTTTCAAGAATCATTAAATTTCTTTAAAGAAAACTTTGATGAGGACAGAATCATTGTAATTATTTGTCTCTTTTCCAAGATGTATGAAGTTATGATAGAAGCTTCTGAGGAAGTTTTGACCAAATTTCCAGAAAACTGGTTGCTCTTGGCAGAGTCAGAAGACATTGCAAAGCTGTGGCAAGATCAGATGCTGGCCAGAAATAAGATTGAGAAAAAAGCTTTAGAAGACAGATGTGTTGTAGGAATGCCTTGGGAGCAGGTGAATACCACAATAAGACGCGCATTTAGTACAACTGATCTACCATGCGAATGTCTTTTGTCAGCTTCCACAGGAGCTTTCATTGAAGTAAGGGAGAAGAAACTTAAGGACTGGTGTGATCTTGATGTTCTGACAGGAGGAGATTTTACTCAATATGAAAATGAAAAGGAAAAGAAGAAATTAGTAGAGGAAAAATTCTACAGAGGTGAGCAAGTGAGTTGGCTGAATTTTTATTTTCATGATCAGGTACTCAAACGAGATATTCATGATAAACTCATGCAGACCGTGAAGGAGGCTCTTGAAGGAAAACATAAAGAGGAAGAAGACAAGGTGACATCTGTACCCATTTTGCACCAACCAGGAGCAGGTGGAACAACATCAGCAAAGCAGGTGTTGTGGGATCTGCGGAAAGAATACCGCTGCTGTGTTCTCAATACAATCACAGACCAAACTTGTGATCAGCTGGATGAACTAAGAAAGTATGGTGATTCTTCCCCTAAACCACTTTTGATTTTAATCGACAACGAAGATGAAGATAAATGTTTGCAGCTTCGGGGACATTTGGAAGAAAAGGGAAGACAGTTAAGCAGACAAGCTGAAAAGTCTTTCAGTGTTTACTGTACAATCATATTATGCATCCGCAGAGCATCATTACCTAAACAGATAAAGCATCCTGAAATATGTCTGCGTCAAGAACTTAACCTGACCGAGCTCAAGTGGTTCAAAGACAAGAACGAAAGCTTGGAATCTAGATTTAACAAAGATATGGAAAGAAATGTGAATCCTAAGTTTTTAATTTCATTCAACATCTTAAGAGAAAATTTCAACAAGGAATACATTTCAAAAGTTGTAAAAGAGTTCTCAGATGATGTGAAAAATTGAAAGGGAAGTCAAACTGTTAAAAATAATTTCATTGCTAAATGCTTATGATCCTGAGTTCAAGCCAATACCCGTATCATGCCTGGACAAGATTCTACAACATGAGAGAAGTTTGCACACAAACTGGAAGCATGGAGCTGTCATGAGGAACACCAAATGGGAAGCAAACTTGAGTCAAGGGGTTAAAGTGTTGCTGAATTTGTCATCCAGCAGACATCACCCAGGAAAACCAAGAAATTCTCTGAGGGTTTTCAACAAAAATATTGCACAGGAAATTTTAACCAAAATGAAAGAGCGTACAGGACAGAAAGAAAGTGAAATTATGCAGGAACTTTTTGAATCTGGAACATTTGATCAAGAAACTTATGATTCTAAGAAACTTCAGACATTAATCAACAATGTGATTAAGAAAAGGGAACTACGGGAAAATGGAAGAAGACACAAGTTTTCTAAATTTGTCATTTATGTCAAGGACAATGAAGGTGCTGAAGTTGCTGCAAATATTCTGGAACAGTTATTTGACCTGACACAGGATCCGTTTACAGCACAGCTGATTTCTAGATTTTATATCGACATGAAGAACTGGGCTCGAGCAGAACACTTTGCTAAAATAGCAACACGTAAACTTCCTTCTAACTCTTTCTTGTGGGACACTTATGGTCAAGTGTTCAAAAATCAGTTGTTTGACAGGATATCCCCAGATGGGTTTAAAGATGAAGACATTCCAGGTTTGATAGAACTCTCTGAAAAGTGTATTCAGGTATTTAGGAAAGAGCAGGAAGTCAGTGAAAATGAAGTGACAACTAACGGTGACAACAACTTTGCAGGATATTTTGGTGAACTACGAGCCATACTACTTCTGTTAAGTGCCCTCAAGATGTGTCCAACTTTCAGTAGTGGTGAAACATTGCATAAGTTTTTGGTTGATGATGATTATAAACCTCACTGTCTCAGTTTCTTGAATGATGCAAACGCTAGTTATGTTAAAACTTTAAAAAAAAGTTCCAATGAAGCAATGAGACGTCTTGATGAAGAATATCTTCAATTGAAAAGTAACTTAAATTTGGAAATGGCGACTTCTGCATCTGATTATGACAAGAAATCACTCTTAGATTTGAAAGTCAATCTGGATGAATATTTTGGAGAGGATAGCGATTCAGTTCCTGGAAATTTAAAAGGACGAGATGCCTGCGAATATATTCGAAGACGTGTTAGGCGTTTAGGTGCTGGAAGCTTGAATGGTTTACTGAATTTGCGACAACCAAACAAAATGGAGATAGTACAGCAAGTGTACTCCTTAACTATGAACAATATTAACTCTGGAAGCTGCACATTTGATGATTTGAAAACAATTCTGGACACAGTAACGGTTTTGTTGGTTAACAATAACATACCACCAAAATTAAGTTTTAACAACATTTTGGAATGGTGCAAAAAACTGTACACAATGAATAAGCCACAAGGAACAGATCGCCCATATCTGGAAACGTTTCTTTATTTTGTCCTCTACAACTTCCCGACTGAAGAGCGACTGAGATTTAACATTTGTCTAGTACAAGATTTGATCTCTGCAATTGAAAAATGGCAGGCAGCTTTTCAAAAGAATTACCCAAAGTTTAGAAATGAAGAAATTAAACTAAGAAGAAGAGAAACAACATTGTTTTTCCTGGGAAATGGTCAGCCATTGAGAGACATTGTCTATCAGGATTCTCTGAAAGAAATGGAACAATATTCTTTAACAGAAAAGTGGGACCTTCCAGAAGTGAGGGAGAAGTTGAGAATGATGACAGGAAGTCTCTGTGATCATGGGGAAAGAGTCCAAATAACCATTACAACGAAGCAAGGAAACAAATTTTCATTTTCAATTCAGACATCACACAGAGTATCTAAAAAGGATATGTGGCAGAAGAGGGTCTTCTTTTATATTGGCTTCAGTTTTTCTGGTCCACGAGCATTTGGTATGTCAACAGAGGAACTTGGTTTAAAGAAAGGTGCTGTACCTGTCATTCGCACTCAGAATTTTATTTCTTCAACCAGAGGCCTAAAAGACTACAGACATCCTTTTTTGATGGCCCTTTACCGTGACCAGAAGGACTTACTGTTAAAAAGGCAACAGGAAAAGGCAAGTTATTTGTTAGGTGCATGTCTTCTGTTTGATCAATATTCTTTCCCTTTAAGGTGGTTATTAGGAAATAAGTATCACAAGAAATGTTAACAGATTCAAAGTGCAATGAATTTGTTGGTATCTACATACATGATGCACTCATTACCTTTTTGTGCCCTGTACAATTAGTATACTAGCTCTCCCTAATTGGGTTCAAGGGCCCTACTGTTATGAGAACAAGAGTAGACCCACTGCCCCCCCCCCCCCCTCTCTCCCCCAACAAGCATATCATAGGTGTAGTCTAACTAGGGGTTTCCGTCGAAGTTGGGGTACGTCTGCCTGAGAGGCAAGGAACCAACATTCTGAATACAAACAAGCCAGATCTTTAAAATTGAGGTGCATGCAAAACTCAAGTTGTGGAACAAGACTAAGTTCCATAAGTGGATGCACAACAAGAACATTCCACTGGAGTTTACAGCCGGTGAGCGAGAAGAAGAATTATACTAGCTCACTCTGTCCCTAATATTATGGTGAATCCTGTCATAATGTTATATATAAAAACATATTTTCAGGCCCAAACAATCGTTGATTAAAGTAAACAACCTTTAAAGACTGAAATAATCAAAGCAGCAAAATCTGGGATTAAAAGAGTTAAGGATAAATATTTATTGTTTCTAGCTCATATACTGCATTCTTTAAAAATATTTCTGCACCATACTCTGATAATTTATTATTTCATAACGCTCAGTTCTTTTTTTAGTTTCTATTATGGGTAAAAATTGTAACCTGCATTGTACATGGCAACTGGTTCAGCCATGCAGCCCTCAGTCATTATCCCCACGACGTTTCTCGCACCTCCACCACCCTAAATAATGGCAAATACAATAAGTACAGTATTTTAAAAAAAATCTTTAGAATAGTTAGCGGATATATGAGGTTTGTGCCTGTTTGAGCTATTTAAATGTGGTTCTCGGCATTTAGTGTTTGTTTTTCTTAGTGTATCTGGCCATCTAATGGAGACTGTTTGACAGAAATTAAAAGGAGGATGGCCATAGCAATGGAAAGATTGAACAGCCTTAAATGTCTATGGTTAAGCACCAGCAAGGAGATCAAAATTAGAATTTTGAGAGCATGCATCTTTCCTATGGCTATTTACGGATGTGCGTCAGGGACTATCTCTCAGTCCTTAAAAAAGAGAATTGGGGCTTTTGAGCTGAAATGCTATAGAAAGATTCTCAGAATATCTTGGACAAAGAAGAGCAGAAATACTGACATCTTGAAAGATCTGAACATCAGGGAAGATTCGCTAATAAACAGTATCTTGTCTACTAATTTACTAACTGTCCATGATTCACTTCCGTATATCAGTATAGGGTTTATATAGCTTTTAAGAATTCTTTTTTGTCGTCTCAATTGACAAAGAGAGATTGCATAAAATATTCTTCATTTTGTAAAATGCTGCCTTTGCTTGAGCTATTGGACATTTGACTTCCTTAATACATCTTCCATCTGAAGTTATCAGGATACCTAAGTACTTAAAGAATGGAGTGGGCTGAAGGGCCCACAGATTCCAGCACCCCTATCTATCTTAGGCTCACCTTCAACTGATGCTTCTACAATATGAATTTTTTTTTATCAGTTAGAACATGCACCTTCATGCAGCAATAAATGTCCTGTTTTCTATATTGACAGAATCGAAGTTCACAGTTGCAGCTGGACAGAGACATACAGCGAATCACAAGCACCATCAAGAAACTGATTGGAGAGCCTGTAGATGACTAACATAATTAACCGCTGTGATGAAATCACATTAACTGTCATGATCTTGAGAATGCGTAATCTTACTGCTCTAGGGATTAGCTTTCCAGTTGATTTCATCTTATGATAATACACTCTGACCTGTTTGAGAACACATTAACTGTCACGATCTTGAGAACACATTAACTGTCATGTTCTTGAGAACACATTAACTGTCATGTTCTTGAGAACACATTAACTGTCACGATCTTGAGAACACATTAACTGTCACGATCTTGAGAACACATTAACTGTCACGATCTTGAGAACACATTAACTGTCATGTTCTTGAGAACACATTAACTGTCATGTTCTTGAGAACACATTAATCTTTTAGATATTAAGAACACATTAACTCTTTAAATGTCAAGAAACTTATCATAGTTTGTTTTGTTTGCATTTGTTCTTAACTTTACTTCCTCTTACCTAAATAAATGCATTCTTAACTATTTTTTATTTAAACCCCAACATCTTATATGTTTTATTATTTTAAACCACTTTATGTTTATTCGAAGGATCGACATCATGGCTCACTGGTGTAACCCATAAGTGGTCCGTTCTACTTCTAACTCAAGCCTGAGTCTGAAGAATCTCAGCACAGTGCACGAACTCCGTTGCAACGGCTCAGATTATGAAATGCTTTTGGGTAGATTCTTAACTCAAAATTTTGCCAGGGCAGTGCCGTTAGGCTACTCTTTTGGATTTCCAACTGCCAAGGGATTTTTTACATGTGAAAGAACACACACGGTCATCCGATCTTACTACCCAGAGACCAGGGAAATTACTAAAGTCCACATGAAACAATCCCAACCTTCACTGGGGCTTGAACCTAGGAACTCCAGCACCTAAGCGGACACCATACTTCAATACCACTCAGTTCCCCCCCCCCCCCCCCCCCACAAACCACTAAGGCTAAATATTGTTACTATAATGCACGTGCATTTTTAAAATATATAGAGTTAATGTAATAGTTGCTCGTTACTGAACAAATTAACAGTTGTGATGTTGAGAATATATAAAATGTTATGTTCACGTTATCTGTTGTGATGTTGGGAACACATTAACTGTTGTGATGTTGGGAAGACATTAACTGTTGTGATGTTGGGAACACATTATCTGTTGTGATGTTGGGAGCGCATTAACTGTTGTGATGTTGGGAACACATTAACTGTTGTAATGTTGGAAACACATTAACTGTTCTGATGTAGGGAGCGCATTAACTGTTGTGATGTTGGGAACACATTAACTGTTGTGAGAACACATGTGTGTCTGTTATTGAGAACACATTAACTGTCTGTTCTTGAAACACATTAACTGGGAGCACATTAACTGTTGTGATGTTGGGAACACATTATCTGTTGTGATGTGGGGAACACATTAACTGTTGTGATGTAGGGAGCGCATTAACTGTTGTGATGTTGGGAACACATTAACTGTTGTGATGTTGGGAGCACATTAACTGTTGTGATGTTGAGAACACATTATCTGTTGTGATGTGGGGAACACATTAACTGTTGTGATGTTGGGAGCGCATTAACTGTTGTGATGTTGGGAGCGCATTAACTGTTGTGATGTTGGGAGCACATTAACTGTTGTGATGTTTATGAACTGTGATGTCAGTTCTTAAATCAACTCATGTTTAGAATGTATTAACTATTGTAATGTTGGAAACACATTAACTGTTGTAATGTTGGGAGCACATTAACTTTTGTGGTATTGTGAACACATTAACACTTTCTGTATTACATAATCTTCAGAATCTGACTGTGGAGAATGCTTACTGTTGTTAAGATGGAAAAGCTTTCTAGTGTAAATATATTCATGAGCCACCTGTCATGAACAGAATGGGAGTTGTTAGCCTAAAAACACTTGGAGACATACTCAGGAGGAGAGGAAGCACTTATGGTCATGTCTGATGTGCAATGATGATGGTCTCAGAAATGAACAATGAACAATCCTTCATGTATAGGAACTCTTGCATAAGATTATGAATATCGTTTCCCCCCAGCTTTATGTACTGTTATGATAAAGTTTGTGTTGTTAAATATATAGATAGTAGAGTTTATGTATTGTTTGATGTTGGGAACAATTTAACTGTGTTGTTAATGATGTTGAACACATTAACTGTATTGTTAATGAAAACTGTTTGTGTTGTTTAACTGATAGCATTTATGTATGTTAATGAAAAGTTAACTGTGTTTGTTAACACACAGCTGTTATGTACTGTTAATGAAACATTAACTGTTGTGTGTTGTTAATGATAGATTTATGTATTGTTTGTGAATGACAAGTTTGGTTGTGTTAATGAACATTTAGAGAAGATGCTGTTAATGACAAGTTGTGTGTTGTGTCATGTTCGGTGAGCACATTAATGATGTGACCACGTTGGAGACATTAACTGTGTATGTGTAATGAGCAAAATTTGTGTTGTTAACGATATGATTTATGTATTGTTGTGATGGGGAAAAGTTTGAGTTCATGTGTGTAATGATAGATTTATGTACGTACTTTGGGATGAAAGTTATTGTGTGTTGTTTACAATGACAGCTTTATGTACTGTTAATGAAAAGTTTGTGTTAAATTAATGATAGCCACCCGTATTGTTAGTGACAGACTGGGAGTTGTGTGAAAACTGTTAATGACAGATTTCCGATGTATTGTTAAAAACTGACAATGAACAATTCTAATGTTTATGTAAATAATGATAGATTTATGTGTCCTTGTTAATGAACAAGTTTGTGTTGTTAATGACAGATTTATGTACTGTTAATGAAAAGTTTGTGTTACATGTAATGAATTTTGATCGTATTGTTAATGATGATGAAGTTTGTGTTGTTAATGACAGATTTATGTATTGTTAATGACAAGTTTGTGTTGTTAATGATAGATTTATGTATTGTTAATGACAAGTTTGTGTTGTTAATGACAGCTTTATGTACTGTTAATGAAAAGTTTGTGTTGTTAATGATAGATTTATGTATTGTTAATGACAAGTTTGTGTTGTTAATGATAGATTTATGTATTGTTAATGAAAAGTTTGTGTTGTTAATGATAGATTTATGTATTGTTAATGAAAAGTTTGTGTTGTTAATGATAGATTTATGTATTGTTGATGAAAAGTTTGTGTTGTTAATGATAGATTTATGTATTCTTAATGAAAAGTTTGTGTTGTTAATGATAGATTTATGTACTGTTAATGAAAAGATTGTGTTGTTAATGATAGATTTATATATTGTTAATGAAAAGTTTGTGTTGTTAATGATAGATTTATGTATTGTTAATGAAAAGTTTGTGTTGTTAATGATAGATTTATGTATTGTTGATGAAAAGTTTGTGTTGTTAATGATAGATTTATATATTGTTAATGAAAAGTTTGTGTTGTTAATGATAGATTTATATATTGTTAATGAAAAGTTTGTGTTGTTAATGATAGATTTATGTATTGTTAATGACAGGTTTGTTTGTGGTCAAATATACATTACTGACCCTTTAAAAAGCTGTTACTGACAGATTTAATCTTTAACTTAAATTTTTATGTTGTTTCTGGAAGATTTTAACCAAGTTATTTACAGATTTATAAGAGGTTATTGCCAGATTTATAATTTATTACGCATAATTGAGTTGTCACTGATGGATTTATAACTATTTACTGTCTAGATTTATAAGCTGTTAGTGAGGTATGTATAAATTGTTTTTAACAGCTTTACATTTTATGTTATAATGGATTTATAAGATTTTGACCGATTTATAAGTTTTTACAGGTAGATTTATTTATTTTATTTATAGATTTATAAGTGGTTACCTTCATTTTTATAATTTGTTACATACAGCTTCTTAAATTTTGATAGATTTTTTTGTATAGCAATATATTTTACTTTTTACTGACATTTATTTAAGCTCTTAGTGACTTATGTCCCCGTGGTCTTTGGACAGCCACAAGGAGCAATCCAGATGTTCTGAAAGAGAGTGAGGGCTTGAAGACAACCTATCACAAACATCAGAAAGATAAGTCAACATTTTTTGGGTCATGTTATGAGAACAAGTAAAATGGAACATGTTGTGTTCACTGGAAAGATCTGTTGAAAGAGAACGAATGAACGAACGAACAAACAAACAAACTTTTTTTTCAAAGGATTACAAATTGGGCACGCAGGCCCGCCTGACATTCGGCCCTTCTAAGCACTCATTTTTCAGAGTACCAATACCTGTTATCTATAATGCATGTTATGGATATGATAAAGAAATATACATTAAAAAATAATGAATACACACATCATGTGTACACAATCTTACACACACATATATATACTCTCACATTCTCATACATGCACACTCATATACATACATACCTAATACATACATGCATACATAAACGCATCTACATACATACACAAACAGAAAATACACACACATACATATATGGACATATATGCACACACATATTCCATACATACACACCTACACATGCAGAGAGGCAGAACAAGACAGTGTGAGACAATTCTTAACCACCTTGTGTCATGGCATAGAGGGGTGTTAACACAAATTGACACACAGTTAAAGATCGAAGATTGTTTAGAGGCAAGATCATCAATGCCAGTCTGCACGGCACTTGATGACTTATGACATATGTATACAATTGTCCTGATAAGCATACAACTTTCAGTAGTAATATATTTATGAGATATTGGTAGTATTATACATCTTTGATAACTGATTTGCAAATTCTTACTGACAGATGAAATATTTTGCTAACTCACTGATTCAATGCAGCTAGAACAACTACCAAAACATGTGGTACACATAAGAAGATCTTAAATTAAAAAAGAGGCTGCCCTAGGAAGAGATGGATTGATGACATTAAAGAGCTTCTACTTAGTCTTAGTTGAGGTGTCAGATTCACTGCAATTGGGTTTCCCCATACTTGCTCTGTTCCTGTGAAAGTAAAAACCAAATGAAGTGTCCCTCACTCTTTCATTTGAAAAACT